TCCCTGATTCATAGCCGATCCTTTTTTTTGCATTATGCTTCCAAATTTGTTAAAAGGCCTGAATCGGTTTAGTGTTATCAGGATCCGGTTTGCTTGTGAGTTGTGCCTATTAGAATAAATGTTATAGGTTCTAGTTAAGAATATGATGATAGTTTGTATTGACTTCCTTCCCAACTAACTCAACCTATTTTCCTACTAAACTTCACCAGTAATTAACTCAGTTTGGTTTTGGTTCCTACACACGTGCAAGTGAGTTCTAAAACAATTTAATTATGACTAACCTAGGATTTAATTGATTAGTTTGATTGGATTTTAAGCTATATTTTCAATCAATATTCCTTAAAAACAATCTATAAACAGTTTTGCAAGCAACCCCAATGAAAGCTGAAAGTACAATATATCACTTTTTTCAGGTTTACAACTTTTTTGGCCATCATTGACTTATCATTCATAGTATTTTTGAATTTTCTTAAGTTTTTAGGCTATGTTATTGTATATGGACAAAGGTTGAAAACAGAAAACGTCAAATACCAAAATTTCAATTTTTTTTAATCCAGTTAATTATTAGAGTATAACTTTCGAACAAAATGCATCTTAAGATCTCTTCTCGTCTATGATTCAACGGTCTCTTTCCGTCTTTGGAGATTATGAGCTTAGAGAATTGGGAACGTGTTGATTAAAAAGAAAAGGAGATTGGAGATTTCATTGTTTTAATTAATTATTGTAAATCAAACATTTTTTTTTTGGGCAACCTATTACTCATTCATTCATTCATCACACTTCAAAGTTATACAAAGCTTGTTTAGCCACTGCATCTGCCTCAACATTGACAATTCTTGGGATATTTTTAAACACAATGACATTAAAACGATTTGTGAGCTCGTTTATATCCGACAAAATACCATGAAGCGGAGCAATTGTGGTTTTTGAGTTGATGGCGTTGATCAGTTGTGCCGAATCTGATTCAATCGTCAAGCTTCTGATGTCTTTGACTACTTCGTATAGCAGGGCTGCTCGGATAGCCAAGCCTTCGGCGCCTAAAGGGGAGTCAACAAACATGCTAATTTGGGAGTGTTATGTTCTGGTATCCTGTAAATTATTCGCTACTATCCATCCCAGCCCTGCTAGTCTCTCGGTTTCTCTCCATGCTGCATCTGTTTGCATTGTGAAATCAGTACGAACAGGCTCATAGTATACCTTTGTTCGGGATGAGCTGGTGATAGCTTTTGTGATTTGTGCTGCTTGCCATTCCCGAGCTTCTTTTATGGCTTTTGTTAGTGTTTCATCAGTGGAATAGTGCTTATCATTGAAGAGCTTATTATTCCTTGCAGTCCATAAGTTCCAAACTAACCAAGGGGCAAGTGGCCCTTCTCCAACTCCGGATGGTGGGAGGCACTCTAGGTTCTTTACTGTCCTCCAAGCTTCCTCAAAAGTATTGGACTGTGTGAAAGAATGTGTTGAGCTGAGTGGGACTTTCCTCCATACCTCTTGTGCAAACAGACATTTGAACAGGAGATGTAATCTCGATTCCGTATCTCCACACCTTGGACACGCTGGGTTAAGCTCACTGATCCCTCTTGCTAGTTGTTCTCCCAATCGTAGTGCCTTTGACGCAGCTCTCCACAGGAAGTTTTTAATCTTTGGAGAGGTCTTGATTGTCCATATATCTGTGTTCCAATTCAAATTATTCTCCTCTATGGTTGTGTTTGTTGCCAGAGATTCCTCTCGGGCTGCATAGTAACCGGACTTTGCAGTATACTCACCGGATGAGTGTTTTAGCCAAATTCTTTTGTCTGCTTTTCCCGTAAGGCTTATTTTGATGCTTAGTATTTCCTGCTCATGGTGAGGCAACATCTTCTGGATTTTTGCTCTGTCCCAATCCATTGCATTCTGATCCAAGAGGACACTGACCTTGAGGTTAATATCTGCCTTTGTTGGCGGTCCAAATGGTGTCCTGGTTGCCGTGGTGGAGAGCCAATTATCCTTCCATAGAGGCCAGTAGTCAACATAGCCAATTTTAGGGTTTCCACGTTGGTCCGATTTAAGCAAAAGAAACATTTGGTTAGGTCTGAAAGGTTAACATAAGATATCTATAGATATTTTATTGTTTATCATACGTATTTTATTGTTTATCATACGTGACCTGCAATTAAATCACAGGTCCCCAACATCTTTACCAAACTCTTTCCTTCTCCACCAGTTTTCATTCTTTCCAAGTTAGAAAAGCAGATATAACTTGTAATAGTCCAATATTAGTTATACCAAAGGCAATATATACGGTTGGAATCTATATTCATCAAGTTAGATCCACAAAATCCTGGAACAACAAACGTTTCTTTGAACAGTGTTCTGGACCTACTATAGTGCTTTTTTAGATTAATTTGTGTGGTAATGTAAAAATTAATTTCATAAAATTAATTGATAATATTTCCACATGATATATACATTACTTTATAATAACGAGTTGATTGTTTTCTAAATTTGTGTTTTCATATAAGAGAAACACTAACGAATTTCTGGTTTTATTTATCAAACATCTTTTACAAATTATAAACGTAAAATCAAAAATACAAAAAAATATAATAAAAAAATTGTCGCATTTCATTATTTTCTTTGTGGCATAGATTTAGTCCCTCCACCTTAAATCATGTTCTAGAATCTAGAAGTTGTCCATATATATTAAAGCTGTTGACTATAAAATATTTCATACATAAAAATACGTACGGGTATATAATCATGAATTATATATGTATGTGTAGCTTGCAGAAGACAAACGTAGATGAGGTATTGGTGGCTGAAGTAGAGGGTTTAGGTTAGAAACAAAAAAATAAGAAGTAGACGTTGAAAGTTTAACGAAAATTCACCCCACCAAGCAATCTCTCCCTTCTATGTGTAATATCTTTTTCTCCTTTTTATTATTCTATCAATAAAAAAAAATTCCGCATAAACAGAAATCTATAATGAAATGAATTACAAGAACATGTTGACGT